GATAAAGCCGATAATTAAAATGAGGTCGATAGGTTTAATTTATCGTGCGATTAATTGATTTATGGTTTATCGCGACCGGCCTAAATATTCACCGTTATAATAGCAAAATATGAATGACCGACACATAGTCCGACACTCATCTAAAACAATGTCATTAAGTAAACAAGCAACAGAAGGATGGAGAACTCAGCTGCAGTGGGTGGTGGCTCAGGTGGGCTGCAGCATCCAGCTCCGTACTTTATCTTCGACTGTTTCACAAACGCAGTACTTTATAATATATTACACAAAAATCTCAATAACCGTTGTAAAGGGATTTGACTGTGTTGGACTTTCATCCAGACAACCAATATGGAGGTATTTTCATTACTGGTGGGACTTGATTAAAATCTTTAATAAAGCTAATTAGAGGGTCTGTAAATAATTAAAATGAATTATATTCTAAGAGAAAACCACACATCGACAAAAATATACATTTCTAATTTTTTACTGATAAATTATTGAATAGACCTGAGCTCAGCAACAAATATATTTCAAATACATTTGAAATGAACTATTCTCATAATTTTTAAACAAATGTTTTCTTCTCAGGATAGAGAAGTAAAGTCAGTGTTCCTTTGTTCCTTACAAAGTTATCATTAATTTGTTGTTTATAAATCAGCCATTTATAATCAAATATGGTCTTTTGGGGTAACAGCTGAATATGTAGTCATATGTTTAATTAGCTGAATCATAGCAGGAGGAACTGCTTTTAAGACTGTTAAATTGAATTTTAGTACATTTTAGTACGTGTGCATTTTTTTTTTTGACAAAATCATGTGATGAAAATTTGTATGAACAAACTTTCACCAAAAAAAAAAAAAGTTTTCAAATGTAAAGTATTGAAATAATGTGAATAATATCACATTATTATGCTTTAAACACATTTTCAACAGCCAAATATCTCCTGCAAAGACTTTGGAAAGCAAAAAATATCTATAGTGTACATTTAAAATCAATTGCTTGTTGTAGTTGTGCTGCCATTTTTGGTAGTACAGATGCCTAATCAGCAACTGGTCTGCCATTTTGGTTGAGATGCACAGGCAAGTTGTTTCAATTTTCTAATGTTTGCACACTTGTAACCTGGCACCCAAACGCCTATGTTCACTTTGACTGAGTACACACTCTGTAGAGGGCGTAGTGCAAGTATTGGGATCGGGCTGCCATCCATTGCTTAGTTTGTGGATGTTGCTTGTGCATTGGATTTACAGGTGTACCAGGAACATGCAAAAACAAAGGTTCCTGGAACAAAAATAAGATTAATTGCCTTCATTTTTTTATATGTTTAGATCTATGTAATTAACTAATCTAAATGAAAACATTTATGTCCCGGCCCCAATTTAAACTCTTTCCCCAGATGCGTTTGGTTTGGCAATGAGGGAACATTTTTATTGTCACAGTATATAGCATAATAAAAATAATGATGATGACATATATATATATATATATATATATATATATATATACACACATATATATATTGTGTGTGTATATATATATATATACACACATATATATATATGTGTGTATATATATGTACACACATATATATATATGTGTGTGTATATATATATATATATATATATATATATATATATATATAGTGTGTGTAGTAAATTTTCTTAATCTGGAACCCAAGTCCGAATTTCGTACCACAAACAAGCAAAGGTGGTACGACAATAAGAAATCCTTGAATCCTGTAGTGTATATCAAAAGACCTGGAATACATCTTCTGGCGAAAATAATTGTTCTATCAAAGTATATAGAAAGTCAGACTTCTGAAATGTTTCTAACAGAAAAAAGACAAGAAAATACTGAATGGATGCTTCCATGCATGTTTTGAGTCTTTGCATGTAGGCCTGAAATTCTCCTGGGCATTTAGCTATCTGCTGTGGAATCTTAATCTTCAGTGGATTTACTGAACAAAAGCAAGGGATCTTCAATAAACTGTACAGAGCAATCAGCAGTTGCTCTCTCTTTGTAGTGTTATTTTCTGACTGACAGGCTGAGCATCAGGCATGTAGAAGCAGTTTACAGATGTACAGTGAAATGTTCTGTCATATGATGATTTCAGATCAGAGGCTCTTTGGACGTTTAATTACACTCACTGACAAACTAGTTAAGCACCCGGACAGAATGATGGGATTAAAGCGAGGTGTGTTAAAGGTCATAAAAATGTGTTGTAAAGATGTTACAACATCAGATCAGCTCAGTAGTAGATCCAGACGGTACACTACAGTGTAGGAAACTTCCGCGTAGTCAACTCAAGTACAGGTAATGATCCCTGAAAAACACAGCACCCTCCGGTCTGGGTAACAGACCCGAGAGGGAAACAGAGACCTCCTATGCCCCCATGACACTCCCCAGTGTTCCCAGGGCAGAAGGGATGTAAAACCTTCTGGGGCCTAGTGGTATGTGGGATGTACCGAGAAAACCAACAAAGGGAGGTTCACAGAAATCATCATGATCACATGAAGATGTGGAGGAGCAGTGGTTCCACTCCAGACCACACTATAGAGAAAGCTTCATTTTCATTTGTTTCCTTCCTTCGGTCTAAAACCGTATCTTATGGTCATGGATGAGGTTTGGAACCTCAAAAAAGTTCAAGATACTGGATACCAGTATCATCACTGGCCTTCATTTGTACCAAAATACAATCAAATCAGACTGTTCCTACATACTGTTAGGCTCTGTTTTGTTCAAGAGTGTACAGTATTCCATTCACAGCAGGAAAGTCCTTTGGTCCACTTCTTTGATCTGGACCAAAAGCAGACTTTATCCTTTTCATTTGCTGCGGTTTGCTTTCATATTATGCATTTTTGCAAGTGGACTATAACTTGTAAACAAATCCATCATTTCTCCCATTGGACAGAAACAACGGGGGCAGGGCAAAGAAAAGACCCAGAGAAACAACAAAGTTTGGAAGTCAAGAGCAGCTCATTTAATGCAAGTTTTGCTGCTGCATGCTGAAGGAGGCAAGATGCTCTGACCCACAACATGCTGGCAGCAGCATCACTAGGCAGGAAACAACAAACCAATCGATACATGCAGCAGTACCGATAGCAACACTGAAGGGCTAATATTTACCATAATGCCTAGAACAAGTACCTCATGAAATTCATGTATAGTTTGTATTCATAGTTTGTATTCACACCAGGAGCAAACTGCACCAGAGTTTGTTTGGAAGTGGACAGACACCACCTCACAAAGTGGGTTTGGGTCCAGTTGTTTGGTCCACACAGGATTCACTTATACAAAAGATCCAAACCAACAGGGTGGAAAGATGTGAATACACCCATAGAGTGTACGTCTAAAGGAAGTGTTGTGTTAAAAAAAACCTGATTCAAACTAGTTCTTAATGAATGTTCTGTCTCTCTTTACACAGCCCACCAGTGATGCTCAGAGAAACGGGCAACAGCTGGCTGCCAGAGGAGGACGGGAGCCGGCCGAAAGGCGGCAGTTCTGCCAGTGGCCTTGCAAGTGTGCTGAGAGGACGTACTGCGCCCCAGGAGTGAGCTCCGTCCTTGACGGCTGCGGCTGCTGCAAAAGCTGTGCGAGGCAGATAGGGGAGCGCTGCAATGAGAGAGATGTGTGTGACCCACACAAGGGCATGTATTGTGATTTCTCAGCAGACAAACCTAGATATGAGGTTGGAGTGTGTGCATGTAAGTGTCTCTCCTTCAATTTAGTCTAAAGTCACAGAGCTCTACACAGTTAAATCAGAAAGATCATTCTTGATTGAATAGTGCAACGGGTTTTTTTTTCATATTCAAGACAGCTACAGAAACAAAAGTATTCACTCCGCTTGAAGTTTTTTTTTTCTTGATGTTTTGTGACATTACAACCACAAACTTCAATGACATAAATAGTGTTGGTCTATTTATGTCATATAGACCAACACAAAGTGGTAGAAAAAGAAGAGATGTGGAAAATGCAGCATTTCTGTTTAGTCCATTTTACTCCAGTACAATCAACTGTCCCGTTTAAAAGAGGCAGTATCATGTAAAAAGCAACTTTTTGAGCATTACATCATGTTATAAAGTTATTCCCTCATCACGAACATTCATGGAGTGTTGTCTTGATTCTTTAAGGAGAAATCCTTTAATCTCCACGGCAACCATTCAGCTGTGCAAAACACCTGGTTGGACCTAGTGCCGCCTTCTAATGGCTCCTCCACTTCCTGAAGGCGGAGTTTCAGAAAGAGCCAATTTTATAACAACTGAAGGTAGCCGTTACTTGATTGTGCTTTAAAATGGCAAACATAATACTGTCCCTTTAAGTCACCTAAATAACAGAAGAACACAGGATATCAGTCAGGGAGAACTGAAGGAGTTGCAGAGTCACAGCAAAAAAAAGAAAACTCTGCTACTAAGACAACTTTTAGTTTCACCCTAAATATGACCTTTATGAACAGCTGGCAAGAAGAAAGCCATGAGAAGTCCACTTCCAGTAATTCACAATCCATGAACCATTTGTGCATCATAATTCAGATGCACACCACAATATTAAGATTTTAAGTTGTAAATAATTTAGTGAACAAAGTGTCATTTGTCCTCCACTTCACAGTTATATAACTTTATGTTGGTTGATCCCTTAGTTGTATTTTATATACAAATATTTCCATACATATGAACACAAAGTCTGACAGGTTTTGTGGGAATGTCAAGATGAAAACTGTTAAGAGCAAAAAGCACAGGTGAAGTCCAAACAGAGCTGGCCCCCGGGCAGCTTAGCTGGAAAACCAATCCAAAAACACGTTGGTGTGAAAAACGCCTGCGGAGATTTTTTTTTAGATATATTACTCTGTGGGGAGCTTTCAGAGAAGCCCTCTGTTATCTTAACATCAGACACATTCCAGAGATCTTTGTTGTTCACGTGCGTGTGATAAAGATTTACCGTTTAATCAGACTATTAAGCTCACCTAAACCTGCCATGTCAGTCACAGTTTAATTGTTTCTATCATAAAATCAGATTGAAATCTGATCTTTGGGGGTGATGCATGGGAGGCCTCATATTGATAACGTTAAAGCTAAAATGTCAACATCTATTGCATTATCAAATACAATAACATATTTTGTAAATAAGAAATCCCTTTAATGTTTAATGCCCAACACTTCCAGACATGAGTTATAGTGTGGAGATCTGGAGAAACTCGTATGAAACTAACACAGAAGAGAGCTGTATGAATTATAACTGCATCAGGTTATTTTCATCCAACTAATGAAATATTTCTCACACTGCATGCTTTAAAATGTTACGCTCAGAACAGCGTTATGTACAAATTCTATAATAAACTCCTTTCCAGGTGTACAGGAAAGTGAAGAAACAAACGAGAAAAGAGGATTTATTTTTTTTAAAAAAGCTAAAGGTCAGGATGAATATTAAAAACAAATGTTCTTCAGTTTGAGGGGCGCAGGTGGAATAATTATGGTGATGAGTTAAAACTGTTTTTCACTCTTTAAATAAAAAAGTATTTAAGCCATTTGCTAAACAAATACAATAATGTCTGATTATGTTTACTTTCATAAGGTTGTCTACAGACTTAGCTGGAGTTCTTTGGAATTATGTTTTCGAAAAAATATGCAGGAAAAGAATGTGATGATGCTTTATGTATCACAAAGTGAAGGTAGAAAGAGCTACACTTTTCTCAGTCTACACTTTTAGTTCTTGCCATCGACAGGAATCTAAATATTCTTTTTCTAATTTTGTGCTGGTTTTGTCTCATGTTTTCAGTATTATTACTTTTTGACTTGTGTATGGAAAGGTTGAAAATGGCTGAAGAAAAGAAAGAAAGGTGACCTACAACAGCATCTGTCCGTCCTGCAGTTTTGACAAATAATGTAACAGAGTAATGATTTTATGTTGAGGATTCTCTAAAGTTGCATTTTCTAAAACTTTAATTTTGAATGAGGATTAAATAATTTGTTAAAACAAACACTGAAATTATAAAAGACTAACTTTATATCCTCATAAGTAATGAAACTAAGTCTGGTCTTTATCTCTATGCTGGAGAACATTAAGTGTGGAAAACCTCATTCCATATTTTCAAAGAAGCGTATTTATCATGAGAAAAATGAACTGGCCCCGAGCTCAAAGGCAAACCACATGAGGAGTCCTGACGCATTTCCCCTCTCTAACAGACATGATGGCGGTTGGCTGCGACCTGAATGGGGTCCACTATGAGAACGGGGAAACCTTCCAGCCCAGCCCCCTCTATAAGTGCACATGCATAGGCGGAGCCATCGGCTGCACGCCTGCTTTCATCCAGAAGCCTCCTGGCCTGCTGGGCCCCGCTCCACTGATGAGCAACAGACCAGCCGGCCTCCGCAACGGCCCAAACCCCGGCAAACACCAGCAGGAGACCACATACAAGACAGGTGTGTGTTCAGAGTAACTGGCCTGGAACGGGCGTCCATGCTGGAGATGATTGTAGCCAGATGATTCAACGTTGCAGAAATGATCAAAATGAGGAAAATTGATCTGAAGTGATGGTAATCCTGGGACTTCTATTTAGTATCTTTATTCTCCCACTAGCTCAGGTTAGAACAACACTGCAAAAACACAAAATCTTACCCATTAAGTTCTGTGTCTAATGCAAATATCTTAGTTCACTGGAAATAAGACAAAACTAACTTACAAGTAACTTTTCAGCAAAACATAGGAACTTGTTTTCAGTCAATAATTCTTAATATTGATGAAAACATACCAGTTTCATTGGCAGATTATTTCACTTATAACAAGACATTTTTGCCACATTATGAGTGAAATAATCTGACAGTGGAACTAGATTTATTTTAATCAATATTCAATAATTATTAACGTAAAACAAGCTCCTATATCTTTTTGAAATGTTCCTTGTAAGTTAGTTTTGTCTTATTTCAGGTCAACTAAGATATTTGCATTAGAAACCAAACCAAACATACTGGGTAGGATTTTGTATTTTGTGAAATAAGAGTAGTTACCATAGATACGCAGATGACACATAGTTATACAAATCAATTAGAATAAATCAATATGTGTACGGGTCATAACTTCTTCCAGCTGAAGAAAAACAAAACTGAAGATTTCCAGCTACAAACTAGAAATCAGGCCTGAAATCTGGGCGATGGAGTCAGAGCTGAACCTTCAGAGCCACATAAAGACAGTTACAAAGTCAGTTTTCTATCACCTGAAGAATATTTCCAGGATTAAAGGACTAATGTCCCAGCAAGATCTAGAAAAACTCATCCATGTGTTTATATTTAGTTGCATTGATTACTGTAACAGTGTTCTCACAGGTCTGAAATCAATCTTCCAGTTGCAGCTGATCCAGAACGCTGCCACTCACGTTGTCACACCACCCAGTTCCAAAGTCCCTACACTGGTTCCATGTAAATTATTTTGTTTAATCGTTATTTAAATAGGCTCAAATATAGGATTATTTTGAGCCTATTTAAATCCGCTGTCAGACTCATGAGCAGCTAGAATCTCCTAGTTAGCTCTATGGATCTCAGCAACGTATCTACTGACGAGAAGTCTGAGCTTTAAATAGACCAGAATCCATCAAAATGCTAAGTAATGATCCTCTAACCATGTAGACATGGTGGCGCTATAGTTTGTGATTATTTTAGTAATCAATTATTATATAGATTAATCTGATGATTAATCGAGTCGTGGCATAAAAGGAACATTACGCAGACTTTTCATTTAGCCATTAAAGCTTATTTTGTTCATTATTAGAAATACATACAAAAATGCAAATAAACGTTTCAAAAATAATAATAAGCATTGTCTTGCCTAAAATGTAACAGCATTCCTTTAGTGAATACTTGAACATTTGGAGCTAAAAAGAAAATACTTCTAACATGCGAAAATATCAGCAGTTTCTGCTTGACTAAACACCAACACAGTGTAGAGCTGGTGACTTTTTTTTAAATTAATAACTGGATAGTATCTTAAATGCAAAATATACTTTTTTGTACAGTTTTGGCATAATTACTGCTCTGAGTGAGTCATTCTTTCAGCAGAGGGCCTTTTTGAACCTATATACTCCAGTTAACGACTATTCGATTATTAAATTAGTTGACAATTATTTCAATAATAGATTAATCACAGTTAATATTAATTTTTTCAGCTCTAAATCTGATTAGTTTTCTTACTATTTTCAAATTGTCAAAGTTAAGAAAAAATGCCTACATATTCAAATATTCTACAAAAATAAAAATGGCCGTCTTGGGATGTTCTAACTTTCTCCCCTGACTGTATTACACATTGAAACATTTCCAAGCCTAAGTTGCCATCTGTGTTGTAATTAGGATCAGACCAGCGCCCCCTGCAGGGTGCTGGTGACACAGCATCCTTTAACTATAACACTGAAGGCTTACAGGGATCCTCCTTTAGCTTGGAAGAAGAACTGTCTGGTCCAGACGACCCCCTGGAGCCCCTGCTCCAAGACCTGCGGACTGGGCATCTCCGTCCGTGTCAACAACGACAACGGAAAATGTGAGATGAGGAAAGATCGGCGCCTGTGCCTGCTGCGGCCGTGTGAAAAAAACCTGCTGAAGAGCATCAAGGTGATGACTTCGTCTCAGTTAACGTGTGTTTTCAACATGACGATGTTGGGGTGCACTGATATGAACATTTAGGCTAATATCGCTGTCCCATATTAATATTGCTGTTATGGTTAACAATCCATTATATGTTTCATTACTGCTTCGATGGCCACACCACTGACTTCACACTGCTTCAGTTAGACTCCCCACAATCCCTTGCTGCATCACTGTCACATGACCAAACAAATACCACACCACCGACCTCCTTCTCTACTCCTCCAGAAAACAAACAAAAAAACAACAAAACAAAACAGCAAGATGGAGATAAATATTGGCTTCATTTATTGGACTGACATGTTAAAAAATGATGTGGGTCGATACCGATGTTGGTGCTGATGCATCGTAAATCCCAACACCGGTGCATCTCAGGGTATTACAGTATCATTGAAAAATGTGTGTTTCAGCAATTTGACTTAAAAGGTGAAATTTATGACATATTTAGAGAAGAATTAATAAAATGTCTACATTGATTAATGAATGATTATGATTATGGCTAAAAGATTATGAAAACCTGAAACTGATCTTCTCAGGAAACTTAAATATCCAATCTGACTAAGAGTCATTCTCAGACATGTGGGTCATCAGAAACTCAGGTTAACTTATTAGCAGAACTCCAGTGAAAAATCAATAAATATTACCAACTTTTTTTTGTCATTTTTCTTGTGCAAACATTACAGTATTCTTGACATAAAACTGAACTAACTTACAAATAACCTTTTGGCAACATGTAAGAGCTCATCTTATGTCAAGGAATCTTAATGTAAGACAACTTAAGTCAGTAGTTTTCACCATGAATGTGTAGGGCCTACAAAATATTTCTTCAATAAAAATCTGTTTCACTTTTTATGTTGAATTACTGAAATTAACTTAATATTGTAATTTTTTTTAGTCTGCTCCTGTAATACCTATAAAGACAACTAGAGTTTTTCATCCAGGTGCCAAAGGGGAAGACATGCAGACCAAAGTTCCAGGCGAAGAAGACAGAGAAACTGCGCCTGTCGGGCTGCACCAGCACCAAGAAGTTCAGACCCACGTACTGTGGCGTTTGCAAGGACAAACGCTGCTGTGTCCCCAACAAGTCCCGCATGATCAAAGTGAACTTCACCTGCAAAACGGGCTCCAGCGTTCAGTGGAAGATGCAATGGATCTCGTCCTGCGTGTGCCAGAAGAAGTGCACGGATCCAGGAGACATGTTTTCTGACCTGCAGTTACTTTAAAAAGCGCCAGAGACAATCAGCCCGAAGAAATTCTACAAGAACGAACACAAAAGAAAAAAAAAGGTTGAAATCAGTCAAATGAAGGAAAAAATGTTATGTTGAAAGATTTTATGAGCCGTCTTTAAGACAGGTGTGTGCAATAGGAGGGAGAGACAGATGGAAAGCTGGGACTCCAACAGGAGATGAATAAAACTCTGTGGCTTCATGACTGTTTTTGGGCATGTAATGTATAGAAAATATCTTGCAATATCTTGACATTTGCATTTGTAAGTTCAGCCAAATAAATGTTTCAGATGTCCTTAAATGATGAGTGAAGGTTTTGTCAGCTGATGTGCCTGAATAAAATATATTTAAAAAGATTTGTTAAAACTCCTTCTGAAGCAGCTCACAGTGCTTTGAACACAATTTTCACAAAGTTTTACAGTAACAGAAAAGATGTGAATCCCTGCAGCCTCGTTCAGAAAAAGTCACACATTAAACATGGCATCCAGAACAGGAGAAAACCCAGCAGAGACATCATTTCCCAGGTCAGGTAAAATTGTAGCTTCTCCTTCATGATGGAAATAACTGACATGACATCACCTGCAGTCATCTATTTTGGAAGACATGAAAACCTGATAACAGAACATGAACTAACTTCTACAGATGAATGGGGAAGCAGCTGTGAAGTCTGGACTTGAGTTTATACAGAGATGAATGTTAGCAAAGGGGAACGCTTTATTTTGTAATAAGTAGGCTTATATTAAAATGAAAAAAGTAAGAGAAGCGCATAAATGTAGTTTTAAGCAAAATCCAAAGTAAAAAAAAAAGAGAGAATTAAAAATGATATTTTCTATCAATTCAGACCAGAACATCAGGAGATCCTTCCTCACATCCAGCTGTGGACCCGTTCAGATTAGCTCATAGGAGTCACGGATCCTTAAAACGCTGCCAATACTGACCGAGTCACACTCAACCTTCTCACATGTTCTTTTCAATTCCAACAGAAAACCAGATTTTATTCACATCATAAATTAAATGTATCAAAATTACAAAAGGTGTTTTTATTGGGAAGTATTTTGTGAAATGTCTGAGTGGATCTTCATCTGGCGATGGAGAGTCTGGGTGCGTCCGGTATGAGTCGGGCTTTTGTGGCGTCCAGATGATGATACTCCTCAATCAGTGCACTGAGAGAAGACAGCGCCTCAGAGAAGGCGCTCTGCTCCATGCCGTCTACATGCAGGTAGTGGTGTAAGTGAGCCTACACACCCAGGCAGAGACAAAAAAACAAGGATGTTGGGGGAAAAGTACAAGTTCAAAGGAATGCACATTAGATCCTGATGTTGAACAGGAAATCAGTGCTGCTTTCAGCAAAATGGAAGAATCATGCTGCCTCTGCCATGCTTGCCACAAACTGTGTTTCCATTTACCTTAAAATTGTGTAAGTTGGAATTATGAAAATAAATTCAATGGAAACACAGCAATTTAAAAGAAAAAAAAAAGTGCCTCATAACTGAAGGACATCAGAAGCAGAAGTGGCTGAAGCTCACTGTGCAATCTGCATGGAGTCTAAACTTTCATTCACCATCTGTCTTCACTGGAGTCAGCTCATGGCTTCATCAGGTGCACATTACAGCTGAAAACCGATTGGTGAGTTCGAGATCTTCCTGCTTTGTTGGATGTTTTTAGGTCTGAAGCTTCACTTTGGCTTCAGTGACACGATGTGAGCTTAAGAGTCAAATAGTTCAGTCTTTATTTTGCTTGACTGGAAAACATCCCCTCCAGAATACATGTAGCTTCTAAATGTGGGCTTCAGTCTTAAAGTCTGTTTATGTTGGTTGCAGTGTGGTTTGATACAAACGATAGACTTTAAATGTCTTGCGCATTAAAGTTGCATACTGTACCTATCTAGATAGAATTTCACTGATAAATGAAAAAAGTCCACAAAAAATGTAACAGTCATTTCTATGACAGATGTAAAGGTAAAGGTTTATGCAATAATCACCTTCTTCTTGTAGAGCTTTGTGAAGCGGTCTCTCAGCTCCATGAAGGTGGGCTTCACACAGGTGTTGTTAGCCAGCGCCAGCAGGGAGTGGGCGTGTCCTACAGGGGGGACGGAGCACAGGCCCGTCTTCCAGCCCTCCTGATTCCACGACACAAAGGGCAGCGATGGTCTCAGCCTGAGGATGGACACACAGAAGATGAACTCTGATGGTTCGCTTAAAGCAGTCAAATCTAAATTTATGCCAGTAAATAAAGCAAAAAAACTGACAAATACCTGGAATGTACAGATCAAGGGTCAACAACACAGACTATGTTCACAATTTTAATATTAGTGAAATTAGAAATGCACCAAACCGATATTAATATCTGTATCGTTCCCACTATTGAAAAAAATCTAGATCAGGTATTGACAATGTGACTGATCCATAAGGGCAGATCTATTAAGTCTAATTCTAAGCTTTATTATTTTATTTTTTAGTCAGTTTCTTTATTATTTATTTTCCATTGGCTGTTATTATTCTACTTGCACGATTGAATAAATTCAAGTTGTTTTAACATGTTGACCAAGCTGATGAAGCCATTGCTGTATGTCAGTGTGCTGTACTGGTGCAGCGTTATCACATAAATATGTAATTCAGTACATTTATGTCTGTGTTTTAAAAAAAAAAAGAGACACATTTTAAGTCAATTCAGCAATTTTTCTGTATCTGCTTGGCATCAGCCGATACTAAATCTCAGGTTATTGGCATCAGTATTGGAAGTGAAAACAATATTTTTAGCGATGCAGCATTGAAAAAGAGTCTAAATGTAAGTTGTAGTGATTGAGCGGGTCCAGTCGAAACAGGTTCTGCGTTATAGAACCATGTTAGATGAATTAACTTGCTAACAGGCTAACAAGCTAACAGCTTCACAGATACCCTCTTCTTTAGAGGCTGAGAAAAGCTTCACCCAGTGAAGACCAGGGGTTGGATGGTTTAGCTTCAAAAAAGAGGTTTCTGGAAAAGCAGTTGCCGTGACAGCAGGAACAACTACAAGCTAGCTTCACCTTATCTAGACTGCCAACTACAGTGGAATCCAGCTAACAGGTGAGAGTTTTGAGTTATGACTGAAAAGAAGTGTTGACATGACAGTCGTGAAAAGACTACATGGTTTCCATAGCAACAGACAATGTTGTCATAGCTCTTCAGATTTGCAGCGGTCAATATGTATCCCTATCAGTTGACAATAACTCCACAGAAGCAATCTTGTTTTCTGTTCAGGTTTAGATCTAAAAAAATTGATTTGACTCATTTGAAAACGAGAAGGTCTGCTTTTTGTCATGCGAGGACATGGGTGATTAGCCTGAAGAAGGTTCACTTTTCATCAAAATCTGGAAATTATTTTAAACTAATTACAGAGTTTAATATTTGTGTATTCATATCTAAAATTCACATGACAATATCCAAAAATGTTTCAGGAGTGAAGTTATTGAGTAACAACTTTTTACAGGTTTTAATATAATGTGAAGGATGTAAATTTCACCAGAATTTCAACATTTAAAACGCTGTAGATGTAGAAGTTTTTATGGAGTTGGTGACATACCTGCTAGGCGAATCTGGCTTGTTTTTGACAAAAAGTAAACATTACTGTTGCTGATTAAAAACTGTCCAGAAATAGAAAATTTTACCTAATTCTGGTGCTAATTCTGGTACATATTGCAATAATGATATAAGTTCCATCACTCTGTGACCTTTAGGCTTTTGTGGGCTAAAGTTGCTGTAGCGAGACTGTCAGAGCCGATAAATATTATGTTAGTATGCTAGCATGCAATAAAAAGGAAGTTCATAACACTTGGAACATATTCTCTAAGAATTATTGCACTCTAAATAGTCCTATAAATATTGCAACGAGTAATAATATTTATTAGTTAATTTCACTGATCATGGCAAAAATCTATCAAACCCAAAATTCAGTTTTTCAGAAATTTAAATTATTAATTTGGAGCAATACAAAAATGAATTTGCATTTTGATCTACACAATCATGAGGTAGACCGCTGACTCAGCAGTTCTACCCACAGAGTGATAAGACAAAACACTGATCATGATTTAACTTCCTTTTGGGATTAATAATGCACTTTAAATTCAGAGTGTACTGACACCGTGCTGCCTCCAAGCACATTAATGGAAAATTGAGTGGAAGGAAAAGGTGCGATAGTGAAGGTGCACATGCATCGTTAAGTTTGAGAAGCAAAGCCAATTTAAGAGTGTGTGGAAGATTTATGAGGTGTGGACAGCTGAGTCCGAGTTTCAACAGGCTTGAACTTTATTTGGGCGAAGGCTGAAGAGGGAAGCCTTTAGTAGGGCTGCACCCATAAATCAGTCCCAAATTACTTAATCTTAGGAGATCGGTGATTGGTTAGCGAAACTGATCTTATCCAAAAAAGGTCTAAAAATCAGACACAATCCTCTTTGCTCTGTTATGAGACAGGTTTGACTGACAGACCGGCCCACTAGGTCAGGTCTGCACAGGCATAGTTAACAGTCACTCTACTGTTGCCAACTATTTAGTGACTTTCTAGACCAAAACTAAAAATCTAATCAGCAGGTCAGACTTTTAAAAGAGCAGAAAGCTGCAATCGGTGTACTCTATAGCTATCGATCCTGTTGATGTGTTAAAATAAATCTGGATCGGAACCCCATAACATGATCTGGCATCTCAAAGGCTTTTCAAGCAACAGCATACAAACACAGACAACAAATCACACACTGACATTATTTAATCTCAGCTTTTCCATTTTGGAAAAACAAGAGCAGCCCAGAGTGAGGAACTGGTAGAACCACCTGTAAGCAGCAGTTTTAATTGGCCCTTTCTCCTCAACTTTATCAGCCGCTCAGATCTGCATGCAGGAATTTCAGTTCACTCTTCTTAAGAATCGGTTTGCGATTTAACTAGGCCAGATTGGCCGCTGCTGTGTGGAATCATTCCAGTTTGGTTCGAACTTCAGCCATTTAGTTTCACTAAATATTATTTAATTCAGGAACAATCCTGCAGACCTAAGCAGAGGCAGAAAGAGGCCAACACTTCCAAACAAACCACACCTGTTCATACTTGCTCTGGTGGTGTAGATGAAGATGTGAGCTCTGTGGTAATTCTACTGAAGACTAGATGATCGCCTTCAGGGTGAATTAGCTGAGACATGAAGCAGGTACTAGTGCAGACAGCCTGGTTAATTCACCAGTTAGTATCAGCTGGGGACACTTGAACAAAAATAGGGTGTTAATTAATTATTAATCAATCTAAGGAATAGTCGCTTTCAGTGAATTTCTGTATGTAAAAAGTCTACATATAAGATCCAAATCCCTCTTTATTTACTTCAACAGAAAAGGCTCATGCAATAAAATAGTACTTTTCCTTTTGGAAAAGAGGATTCATTTTGTTTTAAAATAGGAATCCATTTTTGTTAATTTTGTTGGCTTTCAAAATAAAATATTTTACATAGCACATATTTATGAAATTGGTTTTGTTTTGCCGGGCTAGGAGAGATTTATCTTGTAGCAGCTGAGAAAAAAGTAACTCTTTGAATGGAAAACGTTGCAGAATAGTCTGCAACCAAATCTACACAAGTCAAAAATACTTTTTAAGCATTGCTGACATACTGACAAACTCAGCATGTGCATCTTCGTACAGCGGAGGGAGCAAACTGCAAAAATATAAAATCTTACAAAGTATTTTTTGTCTAGTTTCTAGTGCAAACATATCAGTAGACTCAAAATGAAATAAAACTAATAATTTCTTA